TCCAAAGCAGGCTCCAGGCTCTGAGCTGTCAGTACACAGCCCCTCACAGGGCTCGAACCCACGAACGGTGAGACCATGACTGGAAGGGAAGACGGTTGCTTAACCAACTGAGCCACCCAGTCACCCCAAGATTAACTTTTTAATGTTAGAACACAATTTATTGAAATCAAGTGTTTAGTTTACAAGGGTCACTGTGCAAAGCAATGGAGCCACAAAGATCTGTATGACACAGTTCCTGCCCCTACAGCCAGGACAGGCAGTTATTTACACCAAATAGTTATTTACACCAAACAGTGGCATATTCTGTATACAGATGTGTGTATGTATGAATATATGCACAGTCTCTTTCCCAAGAGGTTCTTCAAGCCTGCTATTCATGTTCTCTCAGGAGACTTTTTATATCACCACTCTGAAACTTTGTGCTCTCTGAGGATACGTTACTCACCAAATTTGGGGACCCTGCCTGTAAGTTCGTTAATGTGATGGCCTGACCTATCCTTCAAAGTCTAGCTTAAAGCCCCTGCACGGGTGTTAGCCCTTCTACCAGGTCAGTGTCCAGATCTCTAATTTCTCTGGCCCTCTGTTGTGTATCTGTGTCTGGGATTTTCCCAAAGTGATTCTATGTGGTCATTGGGTTTCCAGACTTAGGGCTGAAAGCACTTGCCAGATTCTTTCTCCTTTAAAGCATAAATAGGCATGCCAGGGGCACCTGGGTGGCTCAGTCACTTGGGCGGCTGACTACAGCTCAGGTCATGATCTCATGGTCTGTGAGTTCAAGCCCCGCATCTGTGCTGTCAGCACAGAGCCTGGAGCCTGCTTCTGATTCTGTGTCTCCCTCTCTCTCTGCCCCTTCCCTGCTTGCTCTGTCTCTCTGTCTCTCTCTCTCTCTCAAAAACAATAAACATTAAATAGGCATGTCAGTGCAAGGATCCACTATCAATTTTCCTGGATCCTCTGAAGATAACTCTGGGAAGACAGTTGTAAAGGGCACTCTGTTCTGTCTTCAAAACTCTTTCTCTACTGACTCTTTCCTTTCAGAATGTAAACATAGTGGGTAGAGCCTAAAGAAATTGAGGCACTGAGGGTGCTGGTCATAGCGAAGGCATACAGTGCAGTTGGACTCTTGGCAGGAGCGAACACAGGACAAAATCCAACACATTCAATCTCTCACTCAGTAAATATTTGTTGAGTATCTACTATGTGTCAGCTTCTGTTCTGGTTGTTAGGGATACAGCAGTGAACAAATCCAGTACGTGGATATTGTTATGGTGCAAGTACAGGCAGAAGCAGAGCTGGTGGGGTGGGGAACAGGGGCAGCTGCTGCCATTAAGCACCGTTTCCAAGTGGTGGTTTTTCTTTGTAATGTTTAATGTAACAAGTCAACAGAGTTTACAAACATGCTATATGTTAAGACTATGATGAGAAGCCTTTAAGAAGCCATGAATGGGAAGCACGTAAGAGAGGGGTGCGCATAATCACAAACACAGCAACCACCACACACAGGTAGTCCTTGATATTAGAAAGGAGATATACCCAGGTGATGGCAATTCTTAAGATAATGGCTGAGAGGATGTAGTAAGCAGGATCTGGTTCATTCAGGAAGGGAATCTGTAAATATTGACCAATTTTTGGCCTCTGGGGCAACTGGTCAGCACTCTTGGCTTTAGAGGTATCAGAAACAGCAAGTAAACCCTGGCCAAGGTGAACATCTGACATTCTTCACAACATTCCTGATTAACGGGAAAAGCTACAAACTGGACGATTTTGTATGTGCATCCAGGAAATTAATGCTACAAGAATTCCGTTGGTTCTTGGCAAAACTGAGGAGGACTCCTGCCCCAAAGATTGGAGGCTAAGCATCAAGCTATTCTGTCAGCAATTAGGCTTTGGCAGCTCACGTGGAGGGCCAAGGCCAAACTAGGAAGTGAGGTGGTCTTTCTTTCTGGTGCCCAGATGTACCTAGTCAGTACATTTTCCCTGAATATAACATTCGCCATATGACCTCGTGCAAAGTTCAGTGTCACAGACTCCTGCCTTCCTGTTTGTTTATTCCTAACTGCTCATTCCTGGGTAGCAGCAAAAGTCTCCTAAAAGGCAAAATTCTTACCTCAATATATAGCTTCAGGGTAGAGAGAAAATGTCCAGATGGGCTTTCTGGGAAAGATAAAAAGGAAGACTCTAGGCACGTATCACTTGCCTCCTTGTTACCCCTGTGGTGAGTCACATACCTAGAGGGGCAATCTCACTAATACAGGAATGCCATCCATTCTTACCTACTTCAGTGCAATCTTACAGCAGCAGCTAATACGCTTTTATAACAAAAATCAGGTTCTATTGCTCCTGGGTTAAAAACCCTCCAATTACTTCCCATGGCACTTGGAATTAAAAATCCAAACTCGGGTGGCTCAGTCAGTTAAGCATCTGACTCTTGATCTCAGGTCAGGTCTTGATCTCAAGGTGGTGAGTTCGAGTCCCACATTGGGGTGCATGCTGGGTGGCACCTACTTTAAAAAAAATCCCAACTCCTCACCCTGGTTTATAGAGTGACTTAGTCCCTGCTGTCTCTCAGACTTCATCTTCTACTCTCCCTCTTGCTTACTGCTCTCCACCACACTGTCTGAACATCTGCCGTTCCATTGCACAGCTGTTTCCTCTTCCTGGACTGCTCTTACCCTGATTTTCACTTGGCTGACTCCATCTTACCATTCACTTATCAGTTTACATGTCATGTTCTCTGACCACACACTCTAAGTAGCCACCCAATCACCCTCTACCACTCACTCTTGTTTTAATTCTTTTTGTAGTCCTTACCACTGTCTGCTTTGGTCTTTTATGATCTGGATTGATTATTGTCTTTAATTCCCCCCTAAAATATAATCTCCAGAAAGATAGGAGCTTTTTTTTTTTACTTGTTCGCACATGCAATCCCAGTACCTAGAATAGTTTGGGGACCCAGAAGACACTCAAGAAAGATTGCTGAATGTTCAAATATTGTTAAAATAAATGTTGTCTCACTGTCCCCAAAATTAATTACAAGGATGGGTGGCCAAGTATAATGAAATTAACAATGAAAAACAATGGCCATTATGCTCTTGGGACCAAGTCTTCTCTAAAAGGCAGTTAGGACTAGGAGCAGAGGGGAGCCTGGGTGGCTCAGTCAGTTGAGCGTCTGACTTCAGCTCGGGTCATGATCTCGCAGTTTGTGGCTTCAAGCCCTGCATCAGGCTCTATGCTGACAGCTCAGAGCCTGACGCCTGCTTCAGATTCTGTGTCTCCCTCTCTCTCTGCCCCTCCCCTGCTCATGTTCTGTCTATCCCTCTCTCTCAAAAATAAACATCAAAGAAGAACTAGGAACAGAAAACCTCCAAGGCTAGACACCTTCATTAATTGAGCAAATATTTATTGAGCATGTATCATGTTCACGAATCTTATGTCAGGCAACGAGTCTACAATAATAACAAGAAAAACTCAGTTTCTGTTGTTTTAAGGCCCTCATGGATGAGGGCCCAAAGCCATCAGAAGAGAAAAAAAAATCTTTAAAAGATTAAGTTTCTCGAGGGGATTCTAGGTGAACTCCATGCACTGAAACACTGAAGCAGCCTATCTTGAGCATTGCTAGGGAATGGGGGTGCTTTGAAAGCAGAAATGGAATGTGTACCAAAGACAAATTGTTCACAGCTAAAATTTTTGCTGTGAACCCACTGGGGATATAAAATGGCAAACAGAATTTTAAAAGTAAATACTTTTTTTAAAAAAAAGATGTAGAATGTAGAAAGAAGTGTTCCCAAAGAAGGGGGGTGGAATGCAGAAAGTGTAGTGGGATCTTTAACGCTTATATATTACAACATATGCAACGTTGCACATGCATGCGAATTGTGTTCCTTTTGAGCTGAAGTTGGAATCACCTGATGAAGTGTTGTTCCTTGAGAAGACAGCTGTGGTAAAATTGGTAACATCAAGCTGAATCAGGATTGGAGCTCCACCTATAGTTTGTTTGAAGACTGGTATCTTCATTGCCAAGAAAAATGTCTAGTTGGGACAATGAGTTTTATGCATGCTTGAAAAGGTTTTTAATGTGTGTGTATTGTTATAATTAATGCTTAAATCTATACATAAGGGATCAATCTTAGACATATTTTATTCCTTTGGTATTTGTTAGTTAGCTGTGAGTTACATAATTTCGTTCCTAATAACCCAAAGCCTTTTGTTTTAGGTTAAGATTGACAATCTGAAGATTATAAATTTCAACTAAGGCTAAATCACATAACAAATTATAGGGCTATTTGAATTGGACACTTTAGGTTGAGGGATTTTATCATTTTGTATTTGGTTTATACATTTCTTTGCAAAAATACTGTCATATAACCGGCACTACAACTTTGAATGTGAGATTAAAAATCGCATGCCCCTATGTTTATACTCTGAAAAGTATCCATTCAGTCAATCAACTAATATCTATTGTGTACTCACTATGTGCCAAACATTGCTCAAGGCCTT